TGAAAAGGGACCTAAGAAGGAACCTGTTCATGTTATTCGCTAGTTGGGCCGGCGTTTACGGTAGACCGCTTACAAGCACGTCATCCTTGCAAGAAGAGGAGAAGTCTTGTACGGAATTGCAACTGTCAGCACTACAAGCTATGAGCGGATTGCTATGTTGCGGATCGTGCTTCAATCCGCAGTCACTTTCGGAGGAAGGCGCGATTTTGTATCAATGGTTGGACTTACTGCTAGCCAGTAAAGACGAGAAGGTAAATTCTGTAAACAGTTTCCTTCATATAAGATGTCACTTTACTTCAGCCTGTTATAAATTATAATTAATACATCACACATATTGGACATATATCGACAATGTAAACATTGAGATTCGAGTTTCCACTTTACACATTCTATTGAATTTTGTATCAATTTCGTTTCAGATTTACACGCTCGCACGCGAAACAGTCGTATTATTGCTCGAAGGAAATCCTGACATTGGCACGCTTTTAGATTGGGTGGTGGACCGCTGTTACACCGGCGCACCGCAAGTGGCCGATGGCTGCTTCCTCGCTTTGGCAACAATCTTCAGCGCTAGGTTTGTATAAACGCAAAAATTCCAGTTGCGAATTGATGCGTATGTATGTACGTGTATGCAACATATAAAAGTGTTTATTATAAATCAGAAAATGCGCGGTACTCCTATGTATATACAGCAAATATAGAGAGTACGAGACGCGTTTCTCCATTTATTGAGTCGGCTGGGCTAATTGTAATACAGTAACATGGAACTTGTATAGAATAATCTTAACTATAAGATGTATAATTCTCTTTTTAGAGAGTACCCTTGTGACCACTATACGAGCGTTATCAACGTGACGTTGATGAACACTGGATGTCCACGCGCTCCGGTTCACGACGCTGCTCTTCAGCTTCTTCAGCTGCTGGATCAACGATTCTTCGGCAACGTAGGTCCACTTCCAGCTACGGAACCTGAGGCTGGTGAGCTTTTAATTGTCCTCTTATACCATCGTATTGTATGTCATTGTACATTGTATTACGTTATACGTCGTTTTTTCATCATCCATTTTTTTCTCGCGTTAGCCAGCTGTTTATAATGAATTTAATGTTCCTTTGTATCACGGTTCTCCACTTATTGGAAGCTTTTGCGTCTCTTGAGAATCTGTCTTTTGCGTATCGTCAACACTCGACTGTTTTGTCGAACTCCATCGGCGCGTGAAATCGGAAACTGCAAAGAAACGCGAAACTTCATTAGGTTGCGCAAATTGCTTGATTTTCAATACGAAAGTCGCATAGAGAAAAGAAATCGACAAACATTTTGATTAGTCGAACATATGCATTCATCTTCGCACATTTCGTCATAATATTAAATCGTTACGTTTATGGACGATAGTTAAGTACCTACCGTATTGTTTTCCTTGATTTGCCATTTGTATGAGGGTTCTGCTTCGCCCAGTACGCGGACGGTGCGTAAACATGCGGATCATCTCCTTCCGGAAATTTTGCCCACTCGCGCAGTAGAAAATAAAGTTAATCCCGAAGCTGGTGTTGAATAATACATTGCACATCTGCTGCGCGCTGATTATCCACGGTGGCGGCGATTCATACTTAGACTATAGTTACAGTGGTTATTAACATCGTGAGACATTATTGCCAAGCGGAAACATATATCACGCAACTCGACGCAAATATCTAGTGTCGCAAAAGCACACGGAGGGGAAAGTTTAGTTGAATCAATATGACGATGAGCGAACCAAAAGCGCATCTTGTTTGAGGGAGACAAGGCTGTTACGAAGAAAAATCGGTTCTGAGAACCAAGAATACTGTTTCCTTCGAGTAAAACGCGTTTGGTTTGTCAGCTTGAATTCAGCCAATCCATTTCCTCCGTGCATCGTGTAGTACACGAAGTCGCGTTAAATGAGACTCGCAGTTTTCAGAAAGATGAACTATACTAATCTGAAATTACTTAAACATATTGAACTTCGATACGTACGTAGAAAGCGATCACCCTCAGCACGAACGAAGGCATATTGAGGCAGAGAAAAGCGCTCGAGACGAGGAGGAGCATTTTCGTGACCTTGGTCTGCGGCATTCTGTCTCGTATGGCACGCGCGTCCTTCTCGTTGGAAACGTCGGATTCTATGGTCAAGGTTCTCCGTATATGGTCGAGCTTGTAGAGGTTGCGAGCTATCAGCGTGTTGAAGATCACTATTATAGTCAAGGGCACGGCGAACGTCAGGACGGTATCGATGCCGTTGTAGACGGTCGCCCAGGACTCCCAACCGTTGACCAAGTAACAGAGAGTGGCGTTTCCATATCTGGTGAGTACTGTACGGGGCCCGGAGAACAAGAGGACCGGACTGCTCAGTAAAACCGCCAAGATCGTCAACCAGATGATCACGACCTTCGCTCGGGCGACCGTGCACAGGGACTGGCGGCGAAGTGGATACTTGACCGCCACATAGCGTTCGACGGTGAAGGCCACCACGAGCCACACGCTGAGAAAGCTGCAGAGAGTACTGAGGTAAACGAAGAACTGGCAAAAGCCCTGCTCATTGAACAGGTGCACATGGAACATATTGAGCCAGACAACGAAGATCGTGACGAGGAAGCCGCTGTCGCTGACCGCCAACGCGCCCAGATAAATGCTGGAGGATGCGCGTCGCAGCTTCGTGCCGAAGAACACGCATACGGACAGGCAGTTGCCCAAGAGGCCCAGGTGGACGAGGATTGGCGAATAATACAGCTGAATGTTATGCAAGAGCACGTCGGCCACGCTCACGTTCACCATTTTCTCGCGCGTCCTTTTGGAAATGCTCACATACAGTGTCGGTGAAATGAAAATCGGAAGATGTGCCGCGCGTCGTTGAATGCATAACAGCTTGCGTCATACATGATGACCTGAAAGAGCATTAGCGTGGTCTATATAGGGAGATAGAAAGAGTATATTTCAAACGCCGTACGCTTCCTGCGTCGAGATTACGACTGAATTTAGAAGCCGAAGACGCGAACGCCAAGCCTTGAGAGCGCCAAGCGACCGCGCGAGGTAGTCGGAGAGGTTTCAAGTCAGACTCAATTCTATGTGATTGAACGAAAGCGCCGGTCAGTCTCTGCGCTCTCTCGTTACTTTATCGTCATTCGATCAGCAGATACTTCTTATCGCGTATCACCGAGTGCAGCGTATGCATCGAGCAAATGGGGAAAATCTATGCAGGCAAGCGTGGCACGCTTATCACTTGCATACGGAAATCCTTGGCACAGAAGATATGTTAACAAATCGTCAGCGAACCCGTTATTGCGCAATTGTTGATATAGATTATCGTAAATTACATCATAAAACACGTACACTATGCGTGTATGTGTGCGCACCCGTGAAGTTTCATCGTTATTGTTATTGAACGTAGACAGAGTACTTGTTGCTCGATAAAGGTATCGCGTTTTAACTCGTAGAATCAAGAGTCATTTTACAATGAGGTGATAATTGAGTAGGAAAAAAATCCTTATCGTAGCGCGATTATTGCCGCATGATTATTGCGGGAAATCTGGTTTACAACTTCGTACGTTTTTACGTTTTATATTCTTCATGGGCGTGATGTACGTATGTGCCGCGAAATCTCCGTCCGTTTTTTTTTTCTGCCCCGTGACAAGTTGCGCAGTTCCAATTAGTCGCGAAGAGATTTATCAAATGCCTTTTTCGCGCGCTCGTACGTACAAGCGCGATTGACGCATACCTTTGTATTACGTTCGTCAGCGTGGAATCCAATAAAAATCTTAAAAATCTCACGGTTTATTTGCGAGGTACGTGCGGACGTGAGACGTATTGGGCTGCCATCCAGATTATATGGACGATTTTATGACACAGTTTCGAGAGCCTCTTTTAACTTGTCCAAACACTCTCCAATGTTTCAACATACATACGTCGCTCACACATTAGGGTCGCATATGTTCTTGATGTTTCAAAGACGTATGTCGAGTCCCCGCGTGAACGAACGTGATACGTTCGGTTTGAATCACACTCACCGATACCGTCCGATCGATTTCTTTCTTTCTCGGGTGATATTCACGACACTTTGTTTCAATGGCACGATTTTATAACGAGCGTAAATTATGTCCCACATCCATAGGATCCGGTAGATCCATCATCGATGACAGAACGGTTGTAGCGTAATTTACTGTTCTTTCGTTTTAGGAAGAAAAGTGATGTAGGCTGTATCTATATGTTTAGTTTCGAATTATCTAATAAGGATAATAGGGATAATTTATATTTAGAGGACCACTCCTTTGAATACTAGCGTTATACTTTCGACGAACACACCCGGGTGCCGGCTCAGCTATTTCTGCTAGATGCCTCGACGATCCATTCTTGTTAAAGCTCACGGTGCATCCCGCGTTCTGGCTTCTGCGCATCAAAGCAATACAAATTCCCGCCTATTCATGCGGCGCATGTCAATATGTCGTTCTGCGAAAAGAATTTGCTACATTAATGTACGTTGTACTTGCACAAATTTCACGTATGAAAAAATGTAATAAAATGCGCGTTAGGAAATTAATATTGGCTTGAGATAGTGAAAAAATGAGAAATGTTTGGTGAGGGAACTTTAACGAGAACACACGTATATTATAATTACGACATGCAAATAGCGCAAGCAGCAACATGCGGAAGGTACTTGTGAAATTACTTTTATTACGCTATGTCACGTATGTTAGTAGGATTTATAATTAATAATTCTTTCGTAATTATCATGTCATCATAAAGACAATATAAACAGCTCTTAAGCTTATTATCGAAGTTTCTAAATTCGATTTCCAGGATCTCGGGAAAATGAAATCCCTGTTGTTATATCGTTGTCATACAAACATGCTATTTCAAAGGATATAGATTCTTCATCCAGAAAAGGAAAGTTATATGCTCTCCACATATATAGTACACTGACCTTTATTTGTAAAGTATCCCGTTGATTATTTGCACTCCGCCAGAGTACGTATTATCGAAATGAAAGATAATACCAAATGAAAGCTCTATAGTTTCTGCATATATTGGTTAGCATATTTTCTTCATATAACTATTTATTCATCTACTTCCAACTTTATCCTGATTATTGAAAGTTCTTCAATAAGATTGCAATCTACCGTTCCTTCGTGTAAATTTAATTAATAAGTAACTTTTTCTTTCATAATTTTTTTAATTCTAAATGTTTAAGCATAATATCGAAGATTAATTATTGAAAGCTTTCACCAAAATGAAGTTATGAAAAGTCATGCTGCAAATGGATAGTTGGTAGGATATTGGTAGGACATCATTCGTTTTCATTAAAGAAATACGACATTTCGAAGGAAACTCGATCACTTAAAATAATTAATTTTCTCACTGTTCCAGTAACGTAATACGTAACCGTGTCTATGTTTCTTCGATTGCAGGACATAACGATCCCCTTGCAAGTTCTACCGCCACCGTCACTTCTGGCCCGGGTCAACCAAGCAATCCTGCAGGTGAAATTTCCTCCGGCGGCACAATTAGAGGTGGGACATTAGACGTGCTTTTGTCGACCACCTATTGCCGCAGTCAAATGTATCTTTCGCGTCAACTTGCACAGCTGCATCCGGAACTCACGATGCCGATGTTCAGCGGTAAGTGGAAACCTTCTAAAGTTTCCTTATAGCCTCGATCCCGGAGATTCTATTTCATTGCAACAAGCTGGTGTGCAACAAGCTTTTGAAAATTCTTACCCACGAACGAGAAATTTAATCGAATTACGCGCTGGAAACAATATTCGCTTTTTGCTGTCTGTACTTTGGAGAATTTTACGAATCGAATACGAAAGTTATGTGAATCGATGAGAGTTCGACACTCAGCTTTTTTTTTAGTAAGATTTCGCCCCAGTTTATTTTAACTCATCGACATCGGCACTTTGGCGTGGCTATATTTATTCTTTGTATTGATTTGAACTTGACTTTTTATCTGATACTAAAGAAGAAAATAGGAATGGAATGGAAGGATGGAATCGAAACGCTAATTTTTTTTATGAATGTTTATCTTAGAGGTACTACTTTTCTATAGTAACGTACATAAGTACGTCCGTGTAGCAAGTCTCTCTTTTACATATAATTTAATCGATTGTATATCCAAGTGATTTTGACATTCTCTTTTACATAGAAAATTAGAGAAACTCTGTTGGAATTCTATATTGCTAAAATTTTTGTAAAAATTTGAGTAATAACTCTAGACAGATAATGTTTCCTCAAACGTTTGCGTCGATTTTATATTAAACATGAATTTCGATGGATTAAAGATACTCTATGCAGGAAAATACGTTGCTAATAATAAATAGGTACATTATTGTATGTTTTTTTTTCTATAATTTTGTCGCGTTTAGCATATATTCTACCTTGACGTTTAAATTAGGTCATTATATGATAAAGCATAATTAGCAACTTTTTAGTGTGCTTGAAAACATGTGGACGATCCTTGAATTCTGTAGAGAATTATCTACATGCGGTCAAGTGCTATTTACTCTCGATTGAAATTTTGCCCTTCTCTTCTAATTAAATCCTTGAAATCCACTACGACTAATACGGAGAATTTAATTAGCAACAAAATAAATATCAGAAATACTTCAAATTGATGCAATACAAAGTATGACGTTAATGAGTATAGAGTTAAATGTAAATTATTAAGAAGTCTTCCTCATTAGAAAAAATATCATATCTTCTCTATAAATCTTATTTTCAGACTTTTTATCAATAAGATAAATATACCTGTTCTCGAAAAATTTTCGTTGCTTCAACAATCTTTAATAAAGTTGCAACCAAGTTTGTGTACGTATTTGTCGATTGTCGATTGTAAGAATTGTCGATCAGACTAAAAAATAGGGTTTGCACATATCTCACATATTTACACAAAACATGTTTATTTGGTTTGTTGACAGAAGCCTCTCCCAATATATTTTTTCGAAAAGCGTTGCCTACAAAAAACAAGGATTAGCTTGCTTATTTGTTTTTCATCACAAACAATATTGATACTGTCCAGCGATGTCCGATTTCAAATTATTGTTGAGTGGATAGAAGCGCAATTTGCATGCAAAGGGATAGCCGCGAGGTCTCGTATGCCGTTCATGGAAGGAACGTCTCTAACGCAGCCATCGTTGACATTTGTACATGGTAGCTTATTGACGAATGGTGGCGCAGATCCAACATGATGCTAATTGCATCACAATCTTCACATGCCGGCCTTCTCACCGATTACCGTCCTGGAGGCGTTTGCGTAAATATTGAATTACCGCGGATCTGTTTTAACGCCTCGTTCAAGCGGGTTCTCATCAAGCTGTTATTTACAATGTCACAAAAAGTCAGTGTACTTGAGACGTCCCTTTTGTTATGAAATTCATGGTACATACATGTCGACATAAATTCAAAAGAAGATAAAATAGATCTTATTGATGGGTTCGATCCTTCGTGCGTGTGATGTTGCATATATGACACATCAATTCTATCACATAAATGACAGCTATCAATGCGATGATAATGATCCAAGTATAGTGATTCTCACTTGTATTATAGTAAACGGTGCAAACGGTGACTTGCAAAGCTGAATTTTGTCAAAGATGAATAGACGTAAAAGGCGAATTTTAGCGATGCAGCGTTTGGTGCAATTTGCTCGCGCACTGAAATATTCGAGGAACGCAACTTCTTAACAATATCCAGCAGCTGGATTCTGTAACTTATTATTGGAGTTAACGACATTTTCGTTATCGTTGCGCAGCTTTTGTATACCGTAGAAAAGCTGCGCAACAATAACGAAACTGTCGTTAACTCCAATAATGGGTTACAGAATCGCATCACAGGACTGACATAGATTCGTGTAAATTGACCGTGACCAATCTTTTTACTAATTTAACCTTTTAACTACGATTTTTAATGAGTTGCAAGCGCATAAAACTGCAGTGTCGCTTCGTTTACATAATAGAGATCACTATTCTTCATTGTAATATCCTGACGAATCTTGACGCATTGTCAGTGTCACGGATCGTGTTAAGAGGTGAAGGTTAAAAAAGCAAGAGGTTGGCATATAAAAGATTCACGACGCGAAATAATTCCGTTGCATAAAATACTATCGCGCATGTTTCCGCCGAGCTGACTACATCCGTCTATGTTGACGCGATCGAAGGGACAAATATTTCTCTTTTCCTTTTTGTTTTTCAGGAATAATATAACGAAAAACTACGATTTTATCACGAAATCTCATATGTTACATATTACAGTCAGAAATCTCATATGTTGTATATTACAGTCAGAAAGAGGAATGAAAATGGGAACATAGGAAAGTTTATTTCAGTCACAGTATAGGTGAACTTTAGTTTCGTATGTCGTGGAGAATTATATGACTCTTAAAATAATTAGAAAAAATTTATTGTGTAGTTTCTTTCACAAGTTGTGGCAACATCTTTTATGAATTAAAATTTCAGAACCTTATAGATCTATATACTAATAATGATTGATGTGATTGTTGATGTGAAAGAAATTCAATGAGGAAGAAAATTAAACTTCAAAAAATTTATATAAACTTATATTTTGTTATAATGTAACTCAATAACAATTAAGTACAATAATAATTTCATATTATTCCATAAGTAATTTCACTGTTCGATTGTCGCTGTTACATAGATGAGTACTATCTTTTTTATCTGACAATCTCTACCTAGGAAATTTATCTTCTCTTATTCTCGGCATTCTACTTTCTCAGAATTCTCTAATGGACGGTATTCTTTGTTCATTGGTAGACTCCATTTTTCACAAGCGAAGAGATAAATTATCTTTGGTTTTACTACATCTTGATTTTGCTATATCAATCCGCAATAATAATATTGCTTTGTATATAGGATGAGACGCTTAATTCTCATATATTTCATTGTAATTTATATATAATTTATATACTTGTAGAACGTAATTTTTGAAAGAATGGATATTCCGAATGGTATAACTACATAATAATAATTATAAAAATTAATATAACACACTTGATTGCAAAACATAAGTTTATTTGAACAAGATCAGAGTCTTGGCTGATATTGCAAGCTTATCTGTTTATACTGAATTGAAATTCAGATGGACAAACTGACGAATGGATTTACCAGATTACAGAGGATCTTAGTGGGAATTACTCGGATAAGCTACCATGTACGAGCGAACATTGTTAGTTTCCATCGATTGAACAGACTTTTATTCTGTACAAAAAATATTTTTAAAGAGTCTTAAAACAGTTAAAATCAATTTTATAGTTTAATTTGACACTTGTAAAAATCAAAGGACAATTTATATTTCTATATGAATTATTTTTGGAAAACTGACAATGTGAGTCGATTGATCGTCCGTCACTTTCTAATAATTCACTTAGTATTTCACGCACGCTTTACTTATTTTTAGGTGGTATATTCTTTAGAGAGAGAAAATATTTACCAATATTATTTTGATATATGTCAATCATTAATCACGTGCGTGAAGCTCTGTTTGCATATTAATTTTATTCCAAGAGGATTTTCGTTCAAACGAAAATAAATGGTACAAATTAAATTTGATCAATTGGTATGTCTATTAATTTTATTACAAATCATCTCGTGTGAGTCTGAGAGAATTATGAAAGAGTATAAAGTGACTTGTAATGACATAATCTTTATCTTACCGAAAATCTATGTTCCAGAGATTACACACCGGTTTCAAACAGCTCGCAGAGAAGTTCGGCAATTACTGCTGCAATATTTGTTACCTTGGCTGCATAATATGGAACTTGTCGATCCCAATGTACCACCGTCGTCAAATCCATTGAGTTATTATCAGGTGAGTGCAGTACGTTTTCATAATTATTTCTGGAATAGCAACGTTGCAGAAAATTACTCCAAAATTCTGGAATTTGGTTTTTTACATATAATAAATTTTTATACAAATAAATAGAAGAAACAAAATACAATAATATAATCGATAATATAATCGAAACTGAGCTGTTAAAAACCATATTTTATTCATGCTGTGATACAACGTTACTATTCTAAATTTGATAAATTTGATGTAACATAACATTATTGTTTATACATATTCATGCTTGTTTTTCTTTTTATGATTTTCAAAATGATAGAATTCATTATTTTTGAAGATTTTAACACGTTGACTGCCACGGAATTTTTTACGATTTCGGTCTAAAGAGCCAATTTGATTTAATCATGTTACATTATTAAAAACTTTAATAATAGTACATAGTAATAATCAAAAAGCTTAAAAAATGGTTTTTTTTAAACATTTTTTATTCTCTTTCCTGAGGCCATCTATTCATATTTACACTGTTATGCTACGAGTTTTTTCGTAGCTGTACAAATATGGCAAGTAGTGAAGGGACGAAATAACTCGTAGTAGGCGTCCTGGGCAAGTAAACAACCTACGAGATATCTCGTAGTTGGCAGTCAACATGTTAATTTATCAAAAAATTGGTGATATAATTCAGATGTTTGTCTAACTTTTAATAGGATAACTTTTATCGTGATTTAGAGCGTACGCATTTTTGTTATTTAAAAATAAATAAATCCACATACTATCAAAATCTGTCGGAGGTAAAAGAAAAAAAGACATGTTATAAAGATGTCAGGCGTTACATTTGATATTTTCTTATGTTATATAAATTCCATTTGTCTCATGATCTAAGTTACATTCCTGACGGCATATTTTAGACATCAAAAATTATTAATTTTCGAAGTAAAGATCAAAAGGAAGATATATTGGAGGCGCCGGGTATCGATCCCGGTACCTCTCGCATGCTAAGCGAGCGCTCTACCATCTGAGCTACGCCCCCTGTAATCTGAATTGCTGGTAAAATAATTGTGGATTGTGATTGTGATCTACTTTCGACAAAAGGATTAAAAAAAATGACCTTGGAGGCGCCGGGTATCGATCCCGGTACCTCTCGCATGCTAAGCGAGCGCTCTACCATCTGAGCTACGCCCCCTGTGATCTGGATCGCTGACAAGATCATTGTGGATCGTGATTGTGATCCACTTTTGGCAAAAGGGTTCAAAAATAACCTTGGAGGCTCCGGGTATCGATTCCGGTACCTCTCGCACGCAAAGCGAGCGCTCTACCATCTGAGCTACGCCCCCTCTGACCTGGGTTATTGGCAAGATCATTGTGGATCAGAATGCAGTTCTAGAAAAAGATTTACAAAAAATAATTTTGGAGGCGCCAGGTATCGATCCCGGTGCCTCTCGCATGCAAAGCGAACGCCTACCGTCTAAGCTACGCCCCTTCTGACCTGGGTTATTGGTAAGATCATTGAGGATCGTGATCAGGATGCAGTTCTGGAAAAAGATTTAACAAAAAGTAATTTTGGAGGCGCCGGGTATCGATCCCGGTACCTCTCGCATGCAAAGCGAGCGCTCTACCGTCTGAGCTACGCCCCCCTACGACCTGGGTTATGAGTAAGATCATTGTGGATCGTGATCAGGATGCAGTTCTGGAAAAAGATTTACAAAAAATAATTTTGGAGGCGCCGGGTATCGATCCCGGTACCTCTCGCATGCAAAGCGAGCGCTCTACCGTCTGAGCTACGCCCCCTGTGACCTGGATTATTGGGAGGATCATTGTGGATCGTACTTGTGATGCATTTTCGGCAAAAGGATTCAAAAAATAATTTTGGAGGCGCCGGGTATCGATCCCGGTACCTCTCGCATGCTAAGCGAGCGCTCTACCATCTGAGCTACGCCCCCTGTGATCTGGATTATTTGCAAGAATGGTGTGGTTCGCGTTCGTGATCTACTTTTGGTGAAAGTATTCAAGAGATAATCTTGAAGGCACCGAATATCAATCTCGTTGCTTCACGCATATTCTAAGCGAATGCTCTATCATCTGAGTTATTCCCCCCGTGATATACTTATCTTAGCGATCAATTTTTGGATCTTGCCGAGCGAAGCTCTGAATATGATTTTAGATCTCTCTTAATCTTCGTTTCAGCACATCGCACGTGCTAGATAAATGGAATACGTCAATATGATGTATATGACCCGATGAAATCTTGGAGACTTGGAAAATGATCTATTTTTAAGCTGAAGCTTGAAATATAATATTGAAAGATCCCCAGATGGAACACATATGCGCAATATACCAGGCGCGAGCTAGGCGCTTTTTCTTTTTATAATTGACTTCAAGCTATAATTGGCAATTTTTTGTAAGAAGTTCCTTTAATTGTGCGCAGGTATTCTATGACCGATATTTGGAACATGCGGTATTCCTGCACTATTATTGGTTTACAGAGAGGCAAATCAGTTTCTCGCTTGGAATTGCGCTGGAATCTCTTTGTAATCCTCTGTTACTTGTTAGGGAAAAGTGGTCGTTGCTTTGTGAACAAATCCCGAACGATTATCGATGTTGCCGCAAGCAGAATGCGTGGAAATTGCTTCACTGATTGCGATGGATCAGTATACGTGTATATCGATGATACGTAATTTCGGGGATTAAGCAGAAATTTAATTATGAAAATAGAAATTGGAGATGCACATGCCCAAGATTTCATTTTTTATATATGCGATTTCATTTCATATATTGACGATTATCGGTGATTGTATTAATCTTAATTGTCTCGAATATCGGGAGGCGTAACTCAAATGATAAAGCGCTCGTTTCGAATTCAAAAAGTACCAGAATCGATATTTGGTGTCTCCATAAAATATCTCTTTTGAATAATTTCATTTAATGTACATAGTCGACGAAGATATTTTTCTTTTTATTTAAACATTTTTAAAAATATTTTTGTTTTATTTACAGTATTACACGAGCGACGTGACACGTGGAGGAACGCGCCGAGAAGGCTGGGGTAGCGCAGAAGCGACGGAGATGGTGCTCAACAACCTCTTCTACATTACCGCTAAGGTATTTTTTAATCATTCGTCATGTTAGGTTTTAATTTTGTTCATTTTATAAACATCGAAATTTTGTTCATTTTATAAACATCGAATAAAATACTGTATGAAATACAGCTCTTTGATTAGAATTAGAAATATGAAGATTAGAATTAGAATACGAAGATAAAAGGCGATTACATGTTTAAGTTTAATTTATAACAAATTATTTAGTAAATTGAATTTATTAAAAAACATTACCATATACGTAAGTACAAGCTGATTTATTATCGAAACAATATTCCAACAATAAATAAATAAATCGGCTTATATTTATGTATATATTTCAAATAAATTCGATACCGTCTTTTACCTTTTGTTTAATTTGAAACATTTTGCAGTTCTCGGATGAGCATCCCAAAGAGACGGAGGAGCTGTGGGCGACTCTGTGCGGCTGTTGGCCCAACAATCTCAAAGTTATAATTCGCTACTTGATTATCGTCTCGGGGATGGCACCTCAAGAATTACTGCCATATGTAAGTACAGCTTCTGCGGTGCGACTGACGAGGCGACAGATGTTTCTAAAATTCCATCTTACGTCCTTTAGGCGAAGCGTGTGGTGCTTTACTTGGCACGAGCACGTCCGGATCGCCTCGTTGACGAGATGATGACAGAATTGGAGACAGTCGAAACGTTGAACTGCTTGATCGAACGGACGGAAACACCGCCCTTTTATCGGCTCACCAGCATGAGGAAAGCCTCGTCGCATAGCGACGCGCCTGCCGCCGATCCCGCTAATCCGCCTCGAGATCTTGGTGTCGAGAAGGGCACTATTCATACGAAAAGGCACTCGGGAGAGGATCCTGTCAAAACTGGGTAAGTGATGTTCGTTGTTACAAATTTTTATCACATTTCTCTGCTCGTCGTGACATTTTGGTTACACCGCTTTGAATTATTTGCGCACATTATCCAATTAGTCTATGAGCATTTATGCAAAATCTACTATTTAAAGCGTTAAGTTTATATCATTGTAGATATTCGTTAGAAATGTAGAAATCGGAATTTACGTTAAGACTCTTTTACTTTATTAAGACCCTTGAACTTTCCCTATAGCTCAAAGTCTGATACTGCACTTCGAGCACTCGCGGGGTTTCAAACTCCCAGAGCAGAAAAGACAAGGACTGCGAGCGGTCCGCCAGTTCTTCCAGACGATCTATCAACTCCGACCACGGAAGCTGAAGTATGTTACGTTAACGCGATTAAAATTGCTGAATATATAAATTATTAAGAGAAAAAAAATATATCTCTATTTGTGTGGCAGATCAAATATACATTTGATGAATACGCTTTCAGCTGACCACCGATGAATCATGCTATGCCGCCCGTAATGGACCCGTCGGAGTGAACGGAAAGATGGCATGTGTCGATGAGAAATTCGATATTCCTCAACCACACCCTTTACCGATGCCGGAATATGGTGGTTACTTCGCTCCTTTGACCGAGTACTTGCCTGACAGCTCTCAACCGATAAGCGGGTTTCACAGGTAAATTCAATATATCATCTATAACTTCTTTCCCGTAAAAGGAAATGCATTGCTCATAACGATCCTTGACTAATAATAATGATTTCTCGCTAATTTTTAGATGTAACATCGCCGTAATGCTGCTGACCGACGTGGTCGTTGACGGCATCCAACTCGATTGGGCCATACATGTACCTCTGATGTTACACATAGTTTTTCTCGGTCTGGATCACTCGAGACCGCTCGTCCGCGATCACTGCCGTTACCTGCTGCTGAACCTATTGGTCGTGCTCGGAGATCATCGCGATCATCTTGGAGTGGCGCGCGTGCTTCTCGCCTCAAAGACAGAGCAGTTGGGATTGGGACTGTCTACTCCGGCTTTACCGGTGTTGGAACATAATTTCACGGAAGTCGATCCAGAATTCGACAGCTATCTGTACGGTCCTCCCCCTGCCCCGCCACCCACTACTCCACCACCATCGTCTTCGCCACCTCCACCCTCTTCACCGCCACCTCCGCCACCACCCCCACCGCCACCGCCGCCGCCGCCCATGCCACCCGATTCATCAGCGTCTCCAGCTGTGGTACCTCCACCGCCACCGCCGCCGCCTCCTCCGCCTCCCTTACCCGCGTCTTCACTCGCAGACGACACATCAACGTATTCACCCTTGCTGAACTCGACGTCCACCCCGCCGATGTCGATAAATCACGCAAGTCAGCTGATGACGGATGATTGTAAAGATTATGGGCATTCTCATTATGGTATGATATATACGTGTCTTTAATTAGTCTAATTTATATGTAATGCGAATCGCGATATTAAAGTACTTGCCTGACAGAAATGAATATTATAAAATAGAGTCAGCAGTATGCAATAGTTGGCCGACTTCGAGCGGAACAGCGACGACAACAACAACGACAACGACGAATGCGGTGCCGCCTGTTATTGTAACGCCGGAAGATGTGAATAATTGGACGGGTCCTCAGCCAGGACCTAACATGCCAATACAAGATGTTATTAAATCCTTGATTAATTTCCTAGCATCTAGGTAAGCACAGCAATTATGTACGCGGTCGAACGAAGTTCCGTACTTGATATTCCGATTTCTATACAAACAGGATTAATCAGCCCTTATGGAATTACGAAGACATGACTGCTAAAGTATGGTGGGTTCGTAGCGCTGAGCAACTCACAGTATTACTTCGTCACGTACTACGTGTCTTCAGAGACTCATTGCCGCACGCATTGGTCAGTCAGAGATGGGCGCAAACGGCACTACAGTTAGGTCTTTCCTGTTCGTCTAGACATTACGCAGGAAGATCTCTGCAAGTTTTTCGAGCACTACGCGTTCCTATAACTTCTAGAATGCTGTCTGATATTTTATCTAGGCTGGTGGAGACTGTTGCCGAGCAAGGAGAAGACATGCAGGTATTGTAAAACATCGAGCCTTATATTTTCAAAATTATAATTGTAATTTTGAAATTGCAGTAATATAATTTTTAGTTTCATAATATTTTTAAATTTATAGTACTATTATAATTTATAGTTTTAAAACCATGGTTTGTTTCGATCCTTTATGATTTTTTCGATATACATCAGGGATATGTAACGGAGTTGTTGCTAACCTTGGAAGCGGCTGTCGATTCTCTCGAGTCGGACTTTAGACCGCTCGATTTTATGAAAGAAATCTTTAAGTCGACACCGAATTTGAACAATAAGGACCCGGTATCGGGAATTATAATCGGAGGAAAACGCAGTCCAGGAGGAAATGGTTATCCTGCTGGACCACACATGTTTTCTCACTTGAATCAAGGTGGACATACTAGGAGCACCAGTTATTCGGTCAGTTATTGTATGAAAAGATCCAGCGGTGGCAATTCTGCAGCTAGCGACATAAAAGGTTATTATTAACTGTAAAACTAAAATGTAGAACTTTTTTTTAAAATGAGACTGCAAACACTTGTCAAAGTAAAATTAATTTAACAAAGTTTAATTTTAATTTTAAAAATAAAATTAATTTAACAAAAAAATTAATTTAGCAAAATAAAATTAAAAAACACAAAGAAAGTCTATAAAATTTTTCTTGAAACAAATCTGCTAATATGTTAACAAAAATATAAAAATGGAAAACGAAAATTATTCAACCATCATTACCTTAAAATATCAAAGTTTATCTTTAATTCACAAATTTTCAAAGGAACTACTTGTTACAGAATTGGAGAATAGAGTTGGTGGTAACAAGTATCCCAACTCGAATCTGTCCAGATCAAGATCAGCGCAGTCTTTGAAGTTGTTGGGCGATTCTGCGACGCAGGACGACAAGATGACTATATTGGCGCAACTGTTTTGGTTGTCAGTGTCTCTGCTTGAATCGGATTACGAGCATGAGTTCCTTTTGGCGCTGCGGCTTCTCAGCCGCGTGCTACACAGATTACCGCTCGATCGACCGGATGCCAGGGATAAAGTTGAGAAACTGCAGCAACAACTGCGGTGGACCTCATTCCCCGGTGTACACGCGCTTTTATTGAAAGGATGCACCAGTCCCAACACGTACGAACCAGTCGTCACGTTGCTCTCTCAGTTCACACCTCTGTTAGATTTACCGGTGGTTGATCCCACGCAGAGCCTCGCGTTCCCGATGAATGTTGTATCGTTGTTACCTTATATGTTGCTGAATTATGAAGATGCCAACGAGCTTTGCATCAGAAGTGCCGAGAACATTGCGCAAGTATGTTCATTTCTATTTTTTTTCTATCTTATTAACAAATGAAACGTTTCCTTATTTATTATCAAACTCTCATAAATTTGGCCGTATATTTACATCTTTGTAATGTTCTTTGTCAGTAAATTTCTGATTTCTCGTGTAGGTAAGTGCAGAAAAGGGAAAGAAACTGGAGAATCTTGGTACAGTCATGACATTGTACAGTCGACGCACCTTTAGCAAGGAAAGCTTCCAGTGGACTAAATGTGTAGTGAAATACCTTTACGACTCATACGCTCACCTCAGTTTCAATATGCTTGCTTTTCTTGTGGAGGTCCTGGAGAAAGGCCCGAGCAGTGTGGCATTGCCTGTACTCAGTATTATACATTGCATGTTACATTACGTAGATCTAGCGTCACCAGCTGCGCAGCCGATCAACACCGAACTTTTGAGAGTGATATCTAAATATGTCGAGGTAATAAATATATTTTAATATGATTTATTTTATATGATATTTTCATCTTATTATTTTAGAGCTATACACAATATTGGCGCTTTAATATTAATTATAAGTAAACAATGTGTTAGTTGGCATGTTCGCTGTTTTATTGTTTGTCTAATGAGCAGTTTCACCTTGCAGGGCACTCACTGGAAAGAAGCACTTAAAATCTTGAAGCTTGTAGTAACGAGATCGTCGACACTCGTAGCTCCGCCGACGTCGATGCACGGCTCGTCCTGGGAATCATCGTTGGCATCGCCGCATCCTAGCTTCACCGACACCGAAATATTTACCAAGAAAGAATTACCTGGTGAGTCTAAGTCTCTGTGAAATAATAATGCACATTTATTGTTTTCTGCATCTGTTATTGGTTTCGTTTTTCTTTCTCTTTTTCTCTTCCTTTTGCGATGCGGCATGCATGCACGGCACGGATGATTTATCACATAACAATCAGGTTGTGATAAGAATAACAATAAAAATAGATTGTAAACGCTTCATATAAAATAAAATTATTTTTTTTTTAAATCTAATATATAATCAAACAGCCTTATATTCCCTTAAATATGTAGCTTTCACTTGTGCTCCTATATCTTCGATCTACACCTGGATTTTTGAGATATGTATCTTTTTGGATAGAGCTAAATAATTTCAAGAAGCGCAATAAAAATTATTTGTTTTATATTATCATGTAGTGATATAGAGAGAGAGATACTGCTTCTGCTTACTAAATCTTATTTCTTTTTCTTTATTGGTATACTTTGATCGTTTTATTTTTATGAATAGGAAGGACAATGGACTTCACATTCGACCTGTCTCAAACGCCAGTGATCGGTCGACGTTGGTTGATACGTCAAGGTGTTGAAGAGAAATCACTCGGTTCTCCGCGTTGCTCGTTGTCCCTGTCTCCGGCTGACAGTAGTGCTATCGCAGGATGGAAGAAACCTTGGATGTCACAGGTATATAGAGATATAATGAAAATTAAATAATAAATATAATTCGATTTTCCTTAACCTTCTCATATCAAACATTAAGCAAGATTTGTTCTGTCAATCTGCAAATCCTCTTTACTTTATGGGCAATGAAAGATTATATATTCAAGTAGATAACTCTATAATTAAGCTTTGAAGTATTTAAAACATTTGTGCACAAAATTTTGTATAACATTGTTTAATACTGACTCATATATTTAACATGTGAAATTAAATTTTTATATAATAGGGTCGTGTCAGAGAGTGCTTGGTAAACCTGTTGACTACGTGTGGACAAAGAGTCGGACTGCCAAAGAGCCCATCGGTACGTTTGCAGTATACTTTAATCATTATTCGAGTAGTGTGATACTTTCCTATCCTACGGACTGCGCGGATTATAAAACCTAACCTTACCAAAAAACCAACTGACTTTCATTATGTACCCCTTTCTAGGATGAGCACATTAGTTCAATGACATTGTATAGTAAGGTAAAAGGTTACTATTAAATGCAACTTGCACTCACTGTTAATTCACGATAGTACAAACACTATCTATACTAATCGATTATTCTTTGGACCGTACCGTCACGCTTTAATTAGCTTCGTAAAAACATTGTCACCTGCACATTATTGCAGAAGCAGCGAAATGTATTCACACGCGTCTACGTAGAATCTCATAAAGTGGCAGTAGCGTAAATTTTCCGCACAGCCATCTGAAACCTATTACTTTTTAACACTGTCGTCCGTTGTAATTACTCAAAAATCTATTTATATTGTAGCGAATGTCTCGTATTTGACAACCACTGCAAAATTATTGATAACATAATACCGTTATTTTACGACAACAATGTTATCATGCAATATAATCAGTGCAGTTATCTTTGGTATAAAACAATGTGTTGTTATTCGTGATCAATATGTATATAATTACATGCAGGTTGCTCTATTACTATCGTATTAATTATCAATTCTTTAAAAATTTGACATAAAGATATACATTGTTACTTTTTATCTTTAACATATATTTAATTTCATTAGATTGTAATATTAAAAATATCTCTCGTATGTTTGGACGTTAAAAGAATCAAAATTATTTCTTAGAATTTAGGAGAAACTGCTATACAGTTCTAAGGCACTTTGTATGCACAACTAGTCATTGTAAAACACATGTGTGCACAGTCACTAAATATTTTGTGCAAATTCTCGTGATCGAAAGTGGGACATATTTTTGAAAGTGATACCCAATCGAGGGATTTAATTGAGAAATAACAAGATATAAGTGCATTTTGTATACTAGTATATATTTTTACAAAAATATTAATTTCTAAATTGAAAGCATATAAAATTAATTTAATTGTTTAATTTTAATATCACTTTGTATCTGTCATTTGTCACTTATATATTTGTGTGTTTCCAATCCCTTTACTTCATCCTCTTGTACATGTTTCTCACGTTACCGAAATCATTTTTAATTCAGGTTATATTCAGCCAAAGTTCGGATTTGATGGAAAGACAATCATCCATGGCTTCTTCAACGGAGGAAGTTTCTGGTGCGAATAATGATTTGAGCGGAGGATCTAGACGGGACGATGAACAATTTGGAGTATTCAAAGACTTCGACTTCCTCGAATACGAAAGTGAAAGCGTCGAGGTAAGCTATGATGCTTTGTATTATGCCTCTTCTATACGCAGATTGCATTAATTCAAATTGACCTCTGTAAAATGTTTCAGGGTGAGAGTACGGATAACTTTAACTGGGGTGTTCGACGTCGTCCTCTTAGCGAGGGAGAAGAACGAGAACCTAGTTTAAGACAATTTGAGGAAAGTCTAAGTGAGAAGACGCCATCATCCAGTAAACATACCACACGGGTAAATATACAGTTCAAAGTTACAGCGAGTCATACTTTTTCTTTTAGTCGTAGTCGTTACATTTGATATATCCTGACTAAATGTAATTAATTTGAAAATCTCGGACACGCAGCGTGGAGTCGCCGAGGAATCGTCAGACGATGAAGCCGGGTCAGAGTCACCATTGGACGAGGTACCAGGTGGTTCCGGAACGGGCCAGGAGGCGAACAGCATCCCAGGAATGTTCCCGCCGTCGTCTCTCTCTTTGATACCTAGTCGCACACGTCACGACTCATCCACAAGGTCTGACACATCGTAAGTTTCCGCGTGAAGGTTTTTGGAAACGCGTATATTAATCAATTCACTCGAAACCTTGGCCTACAGCGGCTCGAGTGCAGGAGACCTCGGAGATGTGACGCCTTGCAACGCGTCGCCGAATCTGTCCGCGCTGATGCCGTTCCGACAGGTCGCACGAGACGATGCCGAGGAGATTTGGAGACAGCAAATTCAAAGTCTCATCACCCAAGCTCCGTACAACACTCTGAGCTTCTTCCAATTGCTGAGCAAAATTTTAAGGGTAAGTTTTAAGAAAAGTTTGATAACAACGTTAATACCGATGTTAATCTGTCGTTATAGAAAGAGTTTGAGTATACGTTACAATTCGTATTGTTAAAAACCTGATTATTGCGAAAAATAACACTTAAAACTTGCACTTCTTTATGTCTTTAGGATGTGAGCAGCAAGTCTGTCGGCCTTACACGCGAGGCAAGTGCTTTGCTCAGCAATGGTAGCCCCGCTTCGGCTCATTTGGGCTGTCACTTGTCTAGTCACGCTGAACTACTCAGTTCGAAAGCCGAGCCGCCCTTGGTATGGTTCTCCGTAGCTATATTCGCAAATCAGCGTTTAAACGAGACGTTGCGTTTCGGTATGTTAGAAGTTCAAGAGCACCTGGAGACATTTTTGGACAGAAAGGATCATGCCACAGAAGTAAGTTCTGTTAATATATCTCAATTAGAACGTTTCGGTATCTCTGGTCTGTTGATTTCAGTTGTTTTATATATTTATCTCCCTTTCAGTGCTTGGAGGCGGCTAAAGCGACCGCTAAGCTTCAAGCTTTGGGCGGTAGTCACACCACAGAGGCAGGTGTCGAAGAGATGCTGCTAGATATGGGCCGAGCGCTCTACAAGCTACATTTTCAACTTCTGTTGCTGATTGAGGCATCAAACAAAATGCTGGGTGCGCTAATGAACGCCGCCAGAAACGTGCAAATTCCTCTGCAAGATTTGTCCGTTGAGGTCGCCAATATGAAGATAGCCTTGAGTAGAGCGCTCGAAGAGAGCACCGAGAGCGAACGAGGCACACCTACGCCAACACCTAGTCCTAGTCCTCTGCCAGGTGCAGGTGCCGTGGAGGAAGTCGCTAGAGTCGCGGAACTGCTGAGAAACGCGCGGTGGTGTCCGGCACTCGAAGCCGTGAGACTGCATAGAGCACAGTGGCCGGGCGATCCTTTCCACGACGATGATGATGTAACAACTGCTGTTAGCATGTACTGCAAGTACATAGGTCAAGATAGATCCGGTAAGTTAAAGAAGAAGGGATAGTTAAATCATTGGAAAACTCGGCCGAGAGAGGTGGAATATTTTTAAACACGCGTTCTTTTGAAGAAAGAGTAGAACAAACAAGCATGTACATGTGACATGTATATATATCAATGTTTTAGATATATTCGTGGTGACAAGAAAAGACGACGAGATGTCAGAGATTTTCGGCAGACTAATGGAAAGCTTGTTTGAAGTTCTCGCGGCTGTGACAGGGTTGGAAGCGTCTACGAAGGCGGCGCGCATGCAGCATGACCATTCTAATCACTCCAAAAATGACTGTTAATATAAGCTTTAATGATCTAGTATTACAGATTGTTCATGTACATTTAAGTCTCGGCGTACATATATGTAATATTTATATTTAATTGCCGTATATGTGTAGAGGTATCTTATATACGATTGTAGGTGAGTATACATCACGATACAGATGAACGTTGCGAGTATTTATGTATAATGCGTAAAAAGGAAATTTTTTCTTTCTCTCGACACGAAAAGAAAAAACATAACGATCGCTATTGACTGTATATTCGGCAAATAAATTATATCGATATCTCGATGATGACGACGCTTTGAAACCCATTCTGCAGGTTATTTTATCGTGATGATTACACGAAAGAAGCAGTCGGTATACAACGTGCAGTTTGCGACGAAAGACCAATATGTCGGGTCTTGTTCGGCTCAAGACATAACGCGCTTTACGAGAAGATTCATCGACTCCATAATCACCACAGCGATAAGGATTACCACTCTCATGGTTCGTTAACCTCCGTATGCACGTTAATTAAAAGATTTACAGTTCTTTTTAGAATTTTTTCCTATATATTAGTTTGTATTATCGTTGAAAAGCTATTTGGTATATATACTCATGCAATGTTTGTATTTGTATACAGGCTGCAGAAAAAAGTACGCAAAATTTACTGTTATACCATCATCATCTCAGTACATTATTATATAATCATAATGTTATCATATGATGATCCTGTATTTCAAAGTTGTATAAATTACTTATATTATGAATCGCAAATTTCCTAACTGTCGCCTCTACTAATCGCTATTCTACTATTCACACAACTTGTTAGGAACAGCAATCCCATCATGATAAATCTGTCCCGACAAATTCGCTCATCTACCCCTATATAAAGTGGCCCACATGTGGCAATATCAATGTGCGAAACGCCAAGCAATGTGTGAAAAAAGAAATGGCCAGATGGAACAAACTACCGGTGAACACAATTTTCAGCAAGTCAGTCATATCAAAGAAAAAATGAGGGATGTGTTTTATTAATTTCTTTTTTTACAGGCTTTGAAGAGTTGGATGTTCCACGTAGAGTTCATCGGCCTCCGTAGAGAAGGGACTGTCGAATTTTACACATATCAAGTTCTCTGGAGCATACCCACACCAGCATACCCGGAGCCATATGTGACCGTCAGCGTGTTCTTCCACATCGCGGCGAGTCGCGTGCAGCCGCCGCACTTTCCAGTCGACGTTAGTTTGTTATGTATATTTTCAGCTCTTTCCCTTCGGGCGGGCGGGTGGGCGCGCGCTCACGCACGGGCGCGTGCGTACGTCAACTACGCGTCGACAAGAACAAGCTGGTCTGGGTCATATCGGGAATCGCTTTAAAATGTACTCCACATTATAGTTCCGCTATAATGTAATATAAATATTTAAGATAGGCAGATGTAGAAAGAGTGGAATGTTAGCCAGCTTTCCTGCTGTGCGTAGATAATCGAGTGTTCAGTTAAACAGACGCACTTTCGTAATCACGAGCAACTTCGCAACAGGTCTCGTATGTGTTCGAAGGGCACCAGTTTGCTCATCGCTTGGACATGGTATTTAGACCGAAGTGGCTGTACGATGTTCTCGATATGAAGACCATGTTGTTCAAAACATTCACGTTTTGAGATGTACTTATGTACGCGACTCTTCAGTACGTTGCAAATTAATCTGTCTTCTTTAACTAGACATATATCTAAAGTTGTAAACAGGGAACAGATCACAAAGTCTCAAGTCACACGGGTATTAAAATGATTTTTGTCGTCGGAACTAAGTGTGAATCTCTCTGTGAGTCTGGAGGACCTAAAGCTAGAAGCACCCCCTGAGAGACGGGGCATCGCAGTTCTGATTTTTTCATGCACATGTCGCGTCGCGGAACGGGTGCAGCTTTTCTACAGAGACTTTTGAGCGCCTGCATCGTGCAGAATGTCGTAAAAGTAAGAGTGTCGGGTTTCCGCGAACCGGGCACGCGCCGGCCGCAATCTGGTCCGGCACCGGACGCCGGTTCACTCCGCTCGCTTAAACAATAGGAGCAGGTGATACCCCCATAAGAGAATATGCACCATACCGCCGTGCCGTTCTCAATCGCACGTTTACGACATTCGCATTACACCGTTAACACCGCCCGTTGAAATTTAGCATTTTTTTGTGTTCACAGAAGTATGAATTTTTCTCAACGTATATTTCATCTCCCTCTTTCACTCTCTGTCTCGCTCTGTCTCTTTAACAACAACAATTTAATTGAAAGATTAGCTTCTTAATATAAATCAAGACACACGTTAAGATGTAAATTTTCGTTGTTTCATCTCGTCTTTAGTCATATCGCTTCAATTGGCAGAAAATATTAATTGTTTATTTCTTTTGAAGCAGCTGCGTCCGTTTTCGTATCTCGAAAGAGATTCCATTTAGAGACAATAATCTTTGGTATCGTTGACATAAAATTATGACATGTGGCTGTCAGTAATGGTTGGAGATCTCATTCATCCTCTCCCACGAAGTTGACACTGCACATAGCCGACTACGGAAAGTATCTATTTACAATCCCGCGGAGAGGAGGACACCGAGGAGGTGTGAACCGCGCGTTGGTCTCCGGACCCATGTTTTCTTTTTTCTTTTTCCTACGCGTCTTCAGCTTTTGATAAAAAGACCAGCGAGTGAAACAATTCGAAAAGCGGACAGACTCTCCGCTCGTGCATATGCGGGCCGGACAGATACCGGGAGGTCTCTCTCGATGCCTCAGCAGGAGCCCGAAGAGACTCGGCGACGATACGGCCACGTGTCGAGTGTATCAAACCACGGATACACGATCGCATCTGTAACACTTTCGATCTGCCATTCTCCCAAGTGCGGCCGCATTGAAAACGAGAGTCTACGAATCAAGATTGTTACGAAGCAGGACATATAAACAGGCCGCAGCAATCCTCAGGATGCGCGTGACGAAGTACACCGTGTAAGTTGTCTTAATGATCTCTTCATTTCGTGGTAGTTTTACTCCATCCAGATTAGAACCATACGAGATTAATATACGATCTTTCCTCTTTCTTCTCTTCTTCCTCCTCCTCCGCCTCGCCACGGGAGAGACTTGTCGTTGTCCAAACGGAGAAAAGGTCGGCCGCCGGTCGCTTCACAAACAATCAAATCCGACTATGTGGGTCAGAGCGTGACACGCGCGATATCGGCTTACGGCCGTCAACCGCGACGGCAACAACCACCGCCTATTTATACGGGGCTTTTTGTCAGTGCCGGGGTGGTTCTGTCTTAAACATCACATCCGCCGAGGTGCTTCCTACGCGGTGCGCGGTGGACCGGGAGAATCGCGAGAGACGGCGACGGCGGCGGCGGCGGCGGCGGGATGAAGAGGGAAACCAGGACAGGAACCACCGCCTCGCTTTCTTCAGCGGCTTCAAACATCCGCTGCACCAGCCGCCACCAGATCGCCCGCCTCTTTACCCCCTGCCGCCTCAGCTCGCGCTCAAAGGGACGTTCGCGCGCCCGCGCAAGCCTTCATTTCCCCCTTTCCGCATCGCAAAGGATGCATCGGATGCGTCGGATGCGTTTTTACCCGCGGCCCTCTCCGACTCCGGGCTTTCCGAGGATTCCGTTCGGCTTCCGGCTCCTCTTTGTCATCGTGTTTTGCGAGCGGAGGTCGGACGATCGATTGATGTTGGAATGTTGACCAAGCGGTAAAAAATGAATGGTTTGTAATTTCTTAGGAAAATCATTCAGATTTACATAACGATGCATTTTCTATTCTTAATGGATGCCGAAAAACTGAAAGAGACAAACGTTTTGATCCCTGCCGAATGACATATCTTTTTGAAAAAAGAAGTCGGTAGTTCCAGGAGGTTTCTCGTTTTATGAAAGATTTGCGGTATATATTAACAACTACCAAGGTAGCAAAGTAAAAAATCCTGGAATTTCTACCAGGAAGTGATAGCATAATGCGGCGTTTGACGCATGTAACCAACACGAACTCTTCGACTCTTCGATGAGGCGATCAGGAAAAGTCGAGGGAGTGACTCCAGCCGATACTTTGCCGATCGATCTCGATTGATAGATGCTTATCGATGTTTCAGTCGCAGGAGGGCTGAGATACATCTGGACCAGGGCGACCGGACAAATCGACCTTCTCCGAGGCGAAAAGCGAGCAGGGGGATGACCGACCGGTGAACGCTGCGACACGCATTGTACCCATCGGACCCACGTGCGCGAGGCAGCAGTGGCGACCCGTCGAATCACCAGCTGCCGATTCGCCGAGTCGACTCCTGGAAGCACGGGAGTCGATCTAAAATTAGCGGCCCGGCGTGGCACCCCCGCCTAGCCCTTACATGGCCACGTCACGGGCATGCACTCGGCTACTTCGACAGAGAGAGAGAAAAGGAGCAAGAGAGAAGGAGCGAGCGGCGGGGGAGGGAGGAAAAAAGGGAAACAATAATAATCGCAGCTTGCTCGGCACGAGTTGATCACGCGCGAGATCTAGCAGCTGGAACTCGTCGACGGTCTGATTGGTCGGCCTTCGCTTTAGAAACAATCGGCGAGAGAGTTAGCGGATTTCGGAGGTGAGTGTTAGCCGATCTGCAAGTACCGATCGCTCAATCGCGAGCAGCTCAGCGGAAAATCCGCAAAGACTAGAACTCAAGAGTCTCTTCGTCTCTTCAATCTCATTCCGTGCGTCTCATGTTTCGATTCGTAGAGAGCAAGGGTGCTCTTCGTGCACCTGCAGCTCAAGCGCGGGTAACACGCGTTTGATGCTAAGCGAGATCTTGCGAGAACCGCATATAAAAAGATTTAACGTATTTGAAGCAACGACGGTATTCTGAACTTTCTTTTATCAACAAAGTTTCTCTGAAAATGGCTTACAGGTAATCAGAGGTCTTGTGAGCCACTTTTAGAACCACTTTTATCGATCAAGTGATTTCGAGCTGCTCCTTCGACTTTTTCCAACATAACATTCGATACAATGACGGCTAGGATATCTTCCTTCTTTCTTTTTTATCACGATATCACACGCGCGAGACACAGGAAGCGGCGCATGGGTTAGCAGTGAGCCACATGGCTCCCGGATGAATGAGCGGAGTAATGAACGAAGCTGGCCGTGACGAAGGAGATAACGCGTTTCTTTAATGCCCCCCGAGGAGACTTCTCAATGAAGCGTCGATTATCATTATGTGTATGAGATAGTACGCTTAATATACGGCGAGACCAAAAGAACCGTTATACTACCCCCTGAACGCCCCTGAGGAGGGTTCAAGGTGAGTCGTTGAAGCCCTCAGCCCTGTGCAAGTTCGATTAATCGCGTCTCGCGGATCTTCCTAGTTCATTGTCCCCGGTGGGTCGCGGTACCCCGAGAAACGCTAGATCCTTTCGGACTCCTCGTAGGAACGTGAACGAACCCCGTCCGCGGTACATCTGCGCCAAGCGGATGCAGGCTGCATTTTATGGCCGCCCAATGCAACCGATTCTTATTCGTGCACCCGCACTCACACCCTCCGTCGTCTACCGCAGCACGCGGCACAACGACTTCTATAATTAGATTTCCTTCCTTCTTTCGGTTAGACACCTTCGCGACCGCGAGTGATCTCCTCCCGAGCCGCGAACTGCGAAAACCGGCCGATTCGTACGGCGGTGTCGCGAGCGAGAAATATCGTTCAAATTATAACAAACCGGATAGGAAATTCAATTTATCTCAAACTCATTTATTCGTTCATTGTACATTCAGTCTGCATTTGTTGCAAAATTATTGTTGCAACCGCAGTGATCGTACCTATAATCGGTCCTACAATCTTTAATTGGCAGAGTCCAAATTAAGGCCAGATATTGAAGATTATGTAAGATATATTTAGTTTTTAAATTTAATAAATTAGATCGTATCAATCTATTAGATCAATTAGATCGGTACAATTTTTTTCAACATTGATGGGTATTGAAGATTTTGATTAATTTTCATTGAGATGGTGTTTTAATGAAAATTGAAAAAATAACCACTGATTGCTCATTCTTATTGCGATGGTAGATTGATCGGCGGTCCATCGGATGGATCCGGCGTTACGCCGGTTTTGAGGAACCACGCGCTTTGCGTGTGTCACAGGTTTCACTTCGGCTATTTCGAACAGGTTGCGCTCGTATCTATTTTTCGATCATTGGCGTCGGTCGGATCCACGGATTCGCGCTGCCGACGACAGATAGACACCAACATAATATGAGCGACGATAGTTAAATCGAGGCGCGATACATACGAGCGCGGCTCGTCATGCCAAGTCGCGCGAGATCGTTATAGTCATAGATATCGTTTAATCGCTGGTAATTGGCCAAAGTGTGCCTCTAAAGTTGCTGCAGCTACGCGAAATTGCGACACGCTAATTTGGGCCTGGACTGTCGCAGCCACCGCCGACATATCTCGCGGTTAATTAAATTTTTCTCGATCGATGACGTTCTTCAAGCGCACCGTCGGACATTCGCTTCGTTTGCTCTACTTGCTGTCTTCTCCTGAAGGCTTGCAACATCTCTACGTCAACTGTCTCGAATTAGACGTCAGTGGCGAGAAAAATTGGACGAACGACTTACTCTTCTTAAAAATAATTCATGTACGCGTATAATTAGTTAAACTATCTCTTTTCTCTCACATAAGCCTTTGATACACGAAAGACGGCGATGGAAATTTCCTTGATTGACAACTGCCAAATTGGTCCCCGTAACGAACGGATTTTTCTTGCTCTCGAGTTATTTGCGCGCAACTACGCTATTTCCGGTCGTCTCAGTGTTCCAGCTTTCTAGATCGCTCGTGCGTAATTGTTTATAAATTAATTCTTGATAAGTGGGGTCTGACTTAGGATGATCTGGAAACCGTGATGGAAACCGTCATGAGAGAAGATGCGCTTCCTGTCACGATGTGCTTTCGTCAATGAGCAGAGCAGGCGGGCTGGTGGGGCGCGATTCCGAGATTAGTATTCGCGAATCGTGGCAGAGAAATGTCCTTGTGCAACATTCGCACCTCTCGCAGAAGCTCGCCAAACCATGCGATTAACATCAGGCGGTGAAAATGTGACGGCAGCAGCGAGCTTAAGCTTAAAGTGCACTTTTTATCTTATCCTCCCACCGGGTGTAGTTTCCGGGCTGTGTTTTCGTCGGAACACTTCATTGAAAAATCTTATTGCAATGCTTATGGCGCCTTGGCAACCTGAACTATCTGTCCCTGATCCGCAAATGCAAATACGAG